TCCCAAAGCAGATCCAGATGAGGCAGAGCTAAAGAAAAGAATCATGTTCTGCCATGTGCTCCACTGGGTCTGAGGTTATGGACAATGTCTCTTTATTGCTTTAATTCACGTATCTAACAAAGAGAATGACAAAGCAGCAGCCGATCAGGGCCACCACTGAGGCTGTGATCACCACGACGCTGACGCTCCCAGCCAGGTTGACCAGAAAGCCCAGACCACCTCCGACCAGGATCTGGGCCAGCTGTATCATGCAGGTGAGGGCCGCACAGTCCAGACCCTGCCCTCTCCCGCTGGGGGCCGGGCCCACCCGCTGGGCCTGCTGCCTCTGCAAGGGAAACACAGCAACAACATTTGATCGGCACTGGACTGTCCTTTTAGGCAGAAGGCAGCAAACTTTTTCTATAAGGCACCTAATAGTAAATCCTTTCAGCCAAGCTCCGTCTTGGCTGCAATGAGTCAGTAATTCTAATTCTATTTCTAAGGCAAAGCCAGCTGCAATACATAACCAAGTTGGCATACCAAAATAGCGGATGTTCATGTAATTTTCACCTGTCACAAAATGATTACTTTTCTGTAGATTTTTTAAAAAATCATTTAGAAACTTTAAAATAACTCTTAGCTCACAGGTTCTTCAAATCAGATGGCAGCCTCATTTGACCAGTGGAACAAAGTTCACCAGCTAACTCCTGATTTAAGAACACCGGGAAGCTCCACCCTCCTGCCCGCAATGATCTTTTCTACTTGTCCCAAAGTCTTCAGTTTCACCATTAACTCCTCTGAGAGCTAAATGGTTAATTTATGCAAAATGAGCTCTTCTTAAGAAGTCAATAAATGCAATGTCTGGCAATTCAAGAAATGTCCTACTCCTTAGTTAACAACTCAAGCATTTTTAGGAGAATGTCTGAAACATTGGTAGACATAGGAGAATCATCACATCAAAGGCAATTCAACCTTTCAAAATATGGCTAATATTTGAATAATGTATTAAAAATTGCTTAATGCCCGATAGCTGGTCTGAATGGTTAGTCTCACTGCCCTTTCCTGGGGGTGTCTCATGAGCTAGACCTCCTGCAGGCTTCTTTCTCAGGTTACTTCACCTCATCCTCACTCTCTCTCTACATGCACCTGTTTATCATTATCCCCATGACAACAATGACGATACACTGACATGCAGTTTCAAAGCCCTTGCCAGGTGGTGGGAAGGCGCAGCGCTAAGCACAATAACCCTCTATCTCATTTCATTTCCAGCAGCTCCATAGCGTGGGTATATTATTCCCATGTGACTGGTTGGGAAGCAGATCCTGAAAGCCTGAGTCTGAAGGCCAATTCCCATACTGTTAACTAAGAAAGGCATTGTACAGGAAAATTAATATAATATAATTTTTTGAATAAGAAAGGGAAAATAGCACCCTCTCTGGTGGTGCAGGAAGATGAAGCCTGCTGTCCCTGGTGAATCCTCTCACCCTCCACATCTCTGGCCTGTACCCCAGTTCTGTATGAATAAATAAATCTTAAAAAAAAAAAAAGTTAAAGAAAAAAGCAGGAAATCTAGGCATCACATACATACCAAACTTCTCAGGTTTGGTCAAGGTCTAAAATGCCCTGTACAAAGCAGACTGCACCTCTGTGCCCTGCACTTAGGCAGAAAGGAGGGCGTCGCACTGTCTCCCACACTTACCCTGTGCCGGCAGGGAGTGGAGGCCTAGCTGGCGTTTCCTAAGACAAACGGTGCAGAGGGCCAGCTGAAAGCAGAGGCAGGCAGATCCCCGCAGCTAACTCATGAGC